TTGAGCAGTCCAACCTGCTTTACCGCAATGGATGATGCCCGGGAACACGCAGGCAGGCAGGCAAGCACAAACTGCGCAAGCGTTACCAAAAGGAGAATGTTATCACGTTGGGCAGTCAAGGAACCGATTGATGCGGACAGGTCATTAATGACCTCTGATTCGCTAAGGCGGTTTGACCTGGTAACAGAGGAAGTCCGCACGAAGTGCGTAAGTGCGCATGTATGGTGACAGGCCACAACGGTCAATCACGTGATGTGCGTTAAACGTTTCACTCGACTGCAGGCTACAACACACCCCACATCTCAACAGTTCCAATACCTGAGGAAACATACACAATGACAGTTTCACTCCCGTTCTGCATGGAGATGATACGAACAGGATTTCAATTAGGTTCACTGAAACATTTCGATTCCATCACCGGATCTGGCGTGATACAAATGTAGTCTATGCTACTCTTGAGAAACCAAGTGAAACTTGGAATCAGACCGAATTAACGGGAACACAAAACTGAGAGCCAAATTCGGCAGTAACACATACCTCACCGATCCACAGAACAGCACTGAACGCTGAGGTGCGTTCTGTTAACAAATCTGGTTCTGTGTTCCAACTCCCAAGAAACGGTAGTTTGACGCAATGCAATTTTTTACCGGCATTCATAAAGTCCTTTTAGGATTACTGCAACACTGATCACCTATTGTCCACGGATATATTTCTAAACCTTTGCTCAATATATAGGTGTCACAGGAAGATATATCAGTTTACGGGGAATTGAAAGTTGTCTTTCTGTGATGATCATGCTGCAAAGTTAGATGACCGGACGCACACACCGGAATCCAATTTTCATCGAACCAAGAGGAACGGTGGAACTTCGACCAACCAGGTGATCCCCTGCACACTCTGTACGATTGGAAAATTTTTTGGAATTTATTATTACAAGATGAGCACGACACCGACATAGATTGCTAAGCGGCCAATAATTGAACAAAACCTGTGATTTGCGTTTACGGACAGTTTCTAATACCTGTTTCAACGGCTCGTCGTCTGTTATTTGTGATTTCTTGGACGACAGCGTTATTCGAGTACCAGTACAGATCTAATTATTAAATCTACTGGTTTAATTCCCTAGTAGACAAATTCTGTGCGGGACGGACACCAATTAGAGCAGTGCAGTTTCAGTTTCAGCGCTTGAAAAAATTAACCATACACTTTCATGCATTAGTCATTGTTTCTCTCTTTTAGCTGCCCATTCGGATAAAAGACTGATTTATTGAGAGCCGAGTCAAATAGAAGATAGAGAGTCCATATACACTACGGCTGCAAGATTATTGAATGGATGCATCAGCGGCATTGTTTGCGATACCCAATCAAATCACTTAGTGTTTCCAACCACCAGTTATCATGATCTCGGGGTTCCAATCCAAGGAGCCTAACGGGACCTATGTGACCCAGTCCCTTGGTTAGGGTTTCCATAACCTCGTGCCGCCCTTGACCACCTTCCATCCGCTGCCTATCTCAACAGACATCGCGCACCGTGGTGAAATGTGCAATACATGTAGTAGTCTATGAACGTTAACCACATGCTCCAGTGGACGACTACGATTACCTAAACTCTGCGCCTAAGCTCAGCATTACTCGTGCAATGCTACGTAGATAGCGGTGTTCGTGCACCGAAAATCTATTTTTATCCTGTTCTCGTAATGGCCAAGTCTCCACATCGTAGAGCAGCACAGGCCTAATTTCTGCAACATATCACCGATCCTTCACAAACACCTGGATGTCATGACGGTGCCATATATGTATCAATTTGACAAATGTCAATCAAGCGTTTTTTTAAGAGCGCCGACACTTCATATGTTACGCACCCGCCAGGTGAGATTAAGCTGCCGAAAATAGCAAAATTTGTCCCACTACTTCTCCAGTCCGAGTGAGGTTTGGGGCTAGGATAAACCAACATTTTGCACTTTGAAGGCGGAAAACACACCGAACATGGCTCCTACAGCAGTCAACCCGTCCTAAAAAGCTTGCACATTACTGGGATCTACACTTAGCAGCACCTTAATGTCATCTGTATAATACAGATCAGACAGTCTACCGTCTGGGAGTAAATCGGTGAGAGCTGTGTACCACGAAAAAACGAAAAGACTGATCAAGCCTATAGTTCAGTGATGTATCACGTTAGGAACCACATCCATCCCGTCTGGAACCTGAGCTACACCGGAGGGAGGTAACACGGTTATTTTTCCTCGTATTTCATTTCAACCCACTGGTATTTAAAACCTATTCAAAATTAAACGGTTATGAGGCTGCGGAGAAACTTACCAGGAATTATCTGACGGACAGTGTGCACCAAATTCAGATAGGCCTCAGGACTATAACCCCGTCCCATGCGCTCCAAGACTGTCCGGCTACCCGATTGTGCTGGCAAATGCAGGTGAGAACAAATGTTGGCTCTTTCGCCGATCAGTTGCAACACCTGGCCGGAACGAAAGGTAAGTGATGTCGGGAAGAGGAAAACAAATCTGTATGAATTTTCAGATAGGCAAATTATTCTTGGATAAAAGAAAAGCAAGTAAAAGTGCATTGTGCTACAAGAAGTGCTAAATAGGACATTATTCCTCACGAACAGTGATCCAGATCACATCATCTCGTCTCTCTCGTCCATGACCTTTAACAAGTAAATTCCCTTTGACCCTTTCTGTGTTCTGACTGCATCATCTTCCGCGACCTGCAGCGCTTAAAATCTCTCACCCCAACACGAGGCTGTCTGATTGTACGTTTTGTAATACTCTTGTTGTCACGTACAGTCCATCCGTGTACTAATGGCTCTCCTGCTGCACAGTCGAAGTTCACTGGACCTGCCTAAGACTCACAGCTGTAAACAAAGTGCGGCTTCTCGCTTGGGTTAATTGGGCAAGCACCGGGTCCCTTGTGGATGAACCGTCCGACGGATCGATAAACGAACCCGATCAGTCGTGTGATTTTCAGGTCAGCACACAAAACGGGATGCTCATTATCAACGTACTTTAAAAAGACTCTGCGATAGCGTGTAATCATCAGGCTGACGGGATACCTAGAGCAATCGCACTGAACAGCAAAAGGTCAATGTGATCAAGAAAGATTCTTACGCTTTTCAAAATTGTGAATTTCTTTACTAACTACCTAAATGCCGTTTAAGTAGTTAGATTAATAATCTGCAATACAGTTTGTTAGCTGACAGTCGGTGTTATAACTGTAACGCCACTGGATAGGAAGAACACAAGTCACTGAACTGCAGCGGGCTGACCGTAACTGTGTCAACACCATTTACAGGGTCAATGGGTGAAATACAGATCAATCATCATCAGGCCTATCAATACCGGTAAGATCGATCGCGAGGCCGACCAGTCGAGTGACACCCGATGCGAGAGAACTGCGGCATGATTTGAGCTCTCATCCCAGTCGGTTAATCCCGAAAGTTACCTTCTACTCCTAATAAGGTGTTATAGCTATAAAAGTGACCGAATCTAAGCACCATTGATCTCAATTTTAACAAGCGTGAAACTTAAGCAGTACCTTTTGGGGTTCGAAACTTTGGTAAGTGTCACTATCTGCCTGGAACATCCGGTACTGGTCAGTGACGAATAAAAATGCTGATAATCATGTGAATATCATGACTGTAATTGTTGAAATTTTACGAATATCAATATGGCAATCATTTTTACTGCTTCTATTTGGCATAAAACAAGGCTAGAACGATTATTCAAAGAGGCTGCGACCGAACGCAGACCGTAAGACAAAAAGCAATCGCAGTGGCGTTTGGGAGAGAGAGAGAGAGAGAGAGAGAGAGAGAGAGAGAGAGATGGAGACCAAGAACTTCAGGACGGTGTATACCAACCGACTATCAATCTCTCTCCCGAAACAAAGGAAATCGCTGATATTCCTACGGACTGCTATAAGCAGCAAACCGTGAGTAATCTCTATACATATCTGTCTTTGACAGCACACAATGACAATAACAAAAACTAATCGAATATCGGTTTCACCGATGAAATACTGAAGAAGGGTATAGGAATCATGCTAGTTAGATAGATCGACAAGACATAACTGAGAAAAAGTATCTACTACGGGAAAACGGGATCGGATCCGTTGGCTTTTATTCGTACCAACTATCTATGGATGGGCTTTGAGAGCACCTTAGAGCGGACACCAAAACGTGCCACGGAACGCAATCAGCACTGGTCTTGAGTTAGATTAGTTCGCAAAAAATGGATCAAATAGTGTTCGGAGGAAGATAGGTTTTGACAAAAAAGCATTCATGAGGATATTATCACTCGTGATAAAACGATGACATCTTTTTCCAGCTCGGGGATTCAGTGTTTTTCCTGGTCTATCAATTGAGTAACGTGTTTTTAAATGCTTCCTTGGGCAACTTTGCTGTAGTACGATTCAATACCACACCTAACAAAGCGCGATGGTTCACCACTTCAAGTCCGTGGTTTAGGTTACCAGTTTCCATGACTAAACAGCAGATCTTGGCGACTATGAGGTCCACTCCCTCTGCTGTTCATCACACACAAATATATGTATATAATGAACAAAAGCAGTGATAAGATCCTCAGTGCTTGTCTTAATGAGATAATCTAAAAACTGGACAAGTGTACAGCGTTAGATGCGCAGTGCATAAATCGCAATCAAATGTAAAACGGATCACGGGTGTTCGCGAAGTCACTTGCACTACTCACGCTGCCCCCTAATGGTTGAACTAAAAATTTCCCCGGGAGACAAATCTTATTCAAGCGATATGGATGCTGAAAAGCAAACCGCCATCTCGGAAAGACTATTTAACACATCATCTGTCTTCCTGTTATAAACCCCTCACTGTATGATCAACAATGATGGCAGATTCGGCCGCATCACTGCGACCATAGTGATTATCCTGCCACACATTTTGTTTGAGTTTCTGACCCTGGTGCACGCATATTCCTCGCAACTACGTATTATCCGGTTCCTGCTCCTCCTGTTTTCCTTAGGCGAACGTTGTTCTTCTCTGTATAAGGCGTTGACTACAGAGACCTGGGTGGAGAATGGTTTTGCTGAGCGTGACACTTCTTCCACCTCCCCCTGTTTCCACTGTGTCGTTTGGTCCGAGTAAGCACAACAATAACAACTAGCCGTGTCCTGCACTGTCATGCACATTTTAGCCTTAAATTAGTGAGTGCTGATGATACAGCTCGCGGATTGCACATGAACTCAACAGCGGGTGTGTGCTCCGTTATATCCCCATGATGATCGACGGTACGTGCCGAAACTCGACAGCGGCAGTTTGCGGGTTACAATCAAAAAATCAAATCAAATCAATCAATCAAATTTCTTGGTAATCTTTATCACCCAATTGGATCGTGCTTTCTCCTTCAGCATTGAATTGACTGTTATACATGGTGTTCGGGTTGCCATCACTCAATGGACAGCTGGAACTGGGCACAACGAAACGGAGAATCATTGAGTGAGATCATTTGAATTGGTAGTCTGTTTCATGCAACAGGACAGGGTAAACTACGAATGATTTACGGAACTCTGTCGGTTGGGAGAAGATCAAATTCAACCTCACAACAAGGAAGGACTAGGTGAGGTATAACAAACCGAGTGAACTTACTTCGACCGGGAAATCTTTCGGATGAGGTGACGTGAATCGAACACGCAATTCCGGACTGATTCGGCTCACTTCATCCAACAAATCGACAAAACGCCAGCCGCCCTGTTTCGGTCGATAGACTGTACGAAATCCGGGACTGAGTGTGGCCGAAACGGCTTGTGTAAGCGGTACAGTATCAGCTGATCGATCGCAATAGCTATTCACATTCTGACCGAGCAAAGTGACCTCTTTTACACCCTGAGATAAAAGATGAGACACCGAACAGACAACCGCGCATTAAAGATTTGATTTACACGGAGGATGGAAAATGAAGGTGAAAACGATTGCCTTGATTGCATCCACTATCCCGAAGTATACACGTTTATTCATTGGGATTAGATAAATCACCGCGAAAAGGGGTTTTTCGCTGCAGTGCATTTTTCTTACACTAAAATTCGATTTGTGACCGATTTNATTTTTGTTGTTCAGAGGTCTTACGCATTATTGTAATCGGGGTCTCAAAAGTGACTGTGGGTACACTGTACACCGAAGCTAACGGAGGCTAGGTATGGGTATCTACAGATCAGTTCAGTTCTTATAACCATTAACCATGCGCTTCCGTGCGCCGGTTTTGGTCACCTATTTGGGCATCTACATACATAGGGGGAATCGACCCGAGGGTGCGAACTTGATAGTCCGGCATGACGACAACCTCGGGTGATCCGTATAAATGCCAAGGTTTCTGTGGCAAAGCCCGATTGGAATATACGAAGTATTATAGAAATAAACGTTCACATTGGTGAATTATCTGGAAATTAGAAATATGAACTGTTGCTTCACAGTGGTCTCCACAGTTCCGTGTACATAGGTGTTTTCCAAATCCTTATTGATCGGTTCTTCCGACCCAGTATATCATTATTTTTAGTGAAAGGTAGACAAAGTGAAACAGCGAATAGTGGGATTATTTACAATCACTGCTCATTGGAAACCTTTATTCGAACCGGAAACTGTGCAGTAGAACTGTTCATTCATAAAATACCCAAACGTCCGCAGCAACCCAGCACTTATTCGATACATAATGTAAGAAACACAAACCGAATCGGGAAAAGCAGAAACTGATTTAGAGGATCAAGCCTGGATTAGCTTATTCGATTGTTCAGAGGCACCAGACACCAGAGACCGATGTTGCGGATCCGATAACGATGTCGTGTGGATCGGTGAAAACGACACGAAGAAAAAAAGGAAGAACCGGTCAGTAAAATTCACACGCTGGCTATGAAAATGAATTAGGCAAAGATTCTTCCAAACTATGGTGGCGAAAATAACGGGGACAAGGTAGACCACGAGTGATCATGCGTTCATTTGGGGACACTTGTCAGGTGTGAATTGTGCGCGTCAATATGATCATAGATCGATTTCGTACTGAGCAAGACCCGTTTATCACAAACTCAGGCTAAAAGCGGGATAGTGCAATAATACAAATCGGTGAGGGTGGAGAAAACACGTTCTTATCGGTTCCTGAAAACGAACTTTGTTAGCGATAAGCCGAAATTCATCAATTTCACTGATACCACCACTGGGGAATGGCGGTGCAGAGGTTTAAAGGCTATCACCGGCATACTTTGGACTGGACGGTCGAGATTCAAGCCCGCCACTGCCACTTAAAGTTGGTGGTAGGCAGCTTTGCGGTTCAATACCACACCTGTTCTAGTGGCGCCTGATGTCGTTTGCCATTCCAAGTCCTGGGGCTTAGGCTACCCGTTTCCATGACGGAACAGCAGGCATTCGTGACTATGGGGTTCGCCCGGTCTGCTGTTCACTACACGAATATGTATAGTAAAAAAAAGATAAACTGTGATCTATCAACGAAAAGTAATCAGTTCGTATGGGACTTTTTTTAAATAACCGTTCATCGAGTCACTGAGACTAGCACATCATTACCTATGCAGCAACTTTGAGAAAGCCGGATTGTTGACCATTACGAACGGCATCGGTCAACAATTCGTCAATTCGGATCTCACCGCAGTCGCTAAACGAACGATTTGTCGGTCTCGCGGTAGACCGTCATCCATCATCCTATCCCCTTTCCCCGACAAAAATCACCATTTTGTTAGATCACTATGTGGTTCAAGGAATATCAGACAAACAAGCTATAGCCTTCGCCTGGTAGACAAAGCGTTTCAGAGAAAAGTTCTCAAATCCCGATGATCCAACTCAGAATGAGGCGAACACTATTCGCATTGTTATTCTTCGACATAGCTCGGGTTAGAAAGATCAGAGTGCCGAAAAAGCCAAATGTCTGACCTCGTCGACCAATTGTCTCGCTTCATCTACGATGGATCGCAGAGGTCTACTTCGTTCCCGACCGCGAACAAACGGGACGATACAATAAGTGCACATGTTGTCACATCCACGCATCACGGAAATCAGTGCGACTGGTGCCAATTGCGAGGGACCGTCCAAGTATTTCTCTTTACTGCTGTCGTCGTCCACCACATCCGGTGCGGGTTGGCATCTACGCACCGGAGTGATATCGGCATAAGTCTCTTCCAATGACAGTGTCACACTGGCCCCGCACTGCCCAGCATGTGCATCCTGTATCAACTGGGGCAAGTTACGATAGGCGTCAGGTCCACAAACAAAATCTGCACCCAGCGGACAGGACGGATGCGCTCGGAGAGCATCGGTGAGAAACCGACTGACCGGATTATCGGGGTCAGTGAGAGATTGAGCTACATTGGGACTGAGAAGACGCTCTTTGAGACGTTCAGCCATGCAACCTGCGCACAGAAACAGGACGAAAAATAAATTTAAAAATCTCGAGGATTGAATCAAGGAGAATTTATCGTATTATATCAGGAGAGAAAAACAATCAAGAGACATGAGATTTCCAGGTGTTCAGTTTTTTTTCTTTCTTGAATGGTGACTGCCTGTTAGAATAAATTAGGATTCAGCCTCAATAATCACAAAAACAGGTGACTACAATCTCCTCGAGCCGAACCACGTTATTGAATGACAATTCAGTCAGATAGCAAAACCTGATGTTCTCCGATTTGCCCACTACTGAACCAACGTAACAAACAGCACGGAACGATGGAAGACTCCGCGTGCTGAACGATAGCCACAATCCTGTACTCTATCGACATGCCTGTTCGTTTACTGAAAGATTAGGTGAACACAAGGAGTGAAACCAATATTCTAACAGTGCAAGTGACAAATGAATGAGTGAAATTAGAGTCCATGATGAAATTAGACAGTTAGGCCAAGAGACGCGTTTGTTTCAATCAAAAGGTTTTGTGATACTTTATTCCTCATCTGCCTATTTGGCTGTGGAAGCTGAGTAGGGATTACTTACTTTGATCGTATAAATAAAGCAATTTTGAGTTAAGAATACCGTCATCCTTGCGCATCTATCCTCAATCCACAATTCAAGGTATCCCTTGATTGATAGCACCCTCATTCTTAAAGATTGAGTCGTCTTAGAATCCAAGAATAAGGAAACGGAAAAAATGCTACCAGCATAATTATGGTTATTCACCAAATACAGGCGATACCGCGCCGACCGAAAGGGAGAAAAACGTAACAAATGATCGAAACCACGTCAGCCAGGTCAGATTCGTATGTGATTAGTCCCATGGATGAACAGGATCAATCAAGACTAAAAACCACAACGAATCCGGAAAGGATGAGCTTTATAAACTGTATACTAGCAAAAATCGGATCCACTTTTTCCTCGCTCAACCTCATACTTTTCACTGAGTAGCGACGTGATCCGAATCGGGTACTGTTGTGGATCTACAGTTAACTGTAAAAGTTTACCGCACATGTCCATGACATTATTTATTGATTAACTGGTGCTGCCCGCTGCCACACACACCATGCGGACTTATTCTATTTTTAGTTCGAATCACCTCAGCCAATCCGATATCAGCATTGAATTGTGTGCTGATTGGTTTGTCGATTGCTTGAATGCCCAGCTTGGCCGTAATCTGATTTCATGCCACGCTAGCACTTGCAGTTGGCCTGCCTGCTTACATGTTGAGACCCTTGTTGGCACACCGACCGGTAGATCGGCGACATGTGTACGTGCTGAAAACAGACGAAACGGTTAACTCACAACGGGGTTATCAATTTGCCTAACCGAGACAAGGTAGGCAACTGAAACAGCTTGATTGCATAAAGGAACCGGTTTGATCAGATTGCGTTGCCACAGATATGGAATTGATGCGGTAAGTGGTTGTTTGATGAACCGTCACTGTAATGGACACCGAGAACCACAGGAATGCGTACAGAAAATTCTGACGGTTTTTCTAACCGTGAACAGGTTTGCGTAAGCATCCAGTGAAATGGATGATAACGGGACCCGAATTTATGGTAGAAGGGGACATTACCACATTCGGAGACGTTAAGCACAAGAGATCGGGGTAGAGATCAACTAATGCCGTCGATTAGACTGCCGAAACAGCGGCGGAAAGATACACCACTACTGGAGCGGTACAAAATCACCATCAAGCATTACCATAGTCCGCAACAAGGTTGGCAGGATTAGGCTGATTGTTTATTTACGCGGAAAAAAAGAAAGGAGACAAAATGGCATCATGAAGACGGTAAATTTAACTTCCAAAGAGAACGAAGTTTTACCATCGCATAAGGCATATTGCATTGTAAAAGAGGAGTTTAGAATAACTTTCAAAACGGCCAATCTCAAGCGGCTGTCAGGGAGACGTGGAATGAGAATGGGACTGTCAAGTGAAACAAGGGCATTGGTAGAATCAAGAAACAGAAGGAGAACAGTTCCAGTACTCTTATCTGGAACGCGAGCCACAGAATGAACAGTAGAAGCTATTGTGTCAAGAGTCGAAAGTGAAAGTTGGCAAGGAAATTGAAGAGGATCGTGAGCATCAGACAGGTTGGTCATCCGGTTTCAGAAACGTCCAACACAACTGACTTACAAGGAATCAGTCAATACCTTGAAGAGTCTCTCTTAGGGATGGGTCTTATCAGGGCGGCCCTACGGTGATTCTTCAGTGATCTGTGGTAACCAATAATATTACTTTAGGTCAACCGTTTACGGGGCGGCACGAGTTTGACTGTGAAGAATGAAGATCAATTAGTTTTTCTTGATATTCATGCACAGTTCATTACCAGCTATCTCCATGACATACGCCAGTCTTCACGTTATCCACAAGAAACAATACAACACAAAGCATAGTTGGTCTAACCATAGCTTGACACCAGTATAACGGAGTGTCGTAAGCACAAATTTTCCGGAGGAAAATCACTAACAATTTCAGTTACATACTTTTTAATCTCAACCATAAATACTGGGTATTCCAATTCTACATGTTCCGTAGGGTATTTTAATTGACAGGAGCCTGTTTCCTCAGTAAAGACAACTTAACTTTTTATCTGATAAGTAGTTAAAAACCAGTACATCCTACCGTTTTCATGAACTCCCATGGCTACCAGTTCAACTGTGAGAAATGAGGCATAGCATATTCCGGAAAATGATCTCGTCGCTATTGCGATTGATCGATAGCGATCTGTGGTTTTCATTACATTACGTAAACTTCAAAGCAATAGCAAATAAGTTATTTATTTTTTTTGTACGCACTCGAGTAAGAAGTGTACATATGAAAGCACCAATTCTGTCTTCATGCACACAGAATCATTCTGACTACTCTTAAAACGTTTCTATTTCTATACCACACATCGATTGTTCCTCGTTCTCATTTTTTCGGCCAGAACAGCCAACTTTCGGAACAGACGAAGCCGATTCTTTTCAGTATTTCTGTTCAACACTAACTAAGATCAACCAATGAGATCGATAGTGAGTTTTATTGCTCCATAAAGTGTGATAAGAAACGGCGAAAAACTATTACAGAATTTCAGAAATAAAAAAACAACAATAACGCTGAAACGTACCAAGAATACCTATTCTCAAATGAAGATTGTGCCTATTGGATAGGAGACGCAAATGGTGAAGACGTTTCCAAATTTTCAGTTCAGCACTTTCCCGAATCGCGCATGTCATCAACAGAACCGTGTTTGCCTGAATCGCAAATAATCCGCTTAAACTATAAGACATCTTTTACCTTCTCGACCGACGGAGCTTCCCGAAATCCAGCCTGTTGTAGAATTGATCGGGCAATCTGCGTATCACTGTGATTCATCTGACATCCATAGACCTCAAAAAAGACTAAATCGAAAGGGTTAGCGAGAAAAACAGGCCGGTTGTACCGCATGGTCCAGACAGATTTGCAACGCCTCGAACATTCTAAAATTGTGAGCAATCAAACGCCTGGTCTTACCGGTATCCATGATGAGAGCAGCGGGCGAACTAAAGTCAGATTTGACGTAAACGAACGCATTTTACAGGTTTAGCTGAAGGTATACAAACGGAAGGAACTGCTATTAGCTCGGTCTATGTACAAATGACAAAAGCGTTTTATGAAGAAAAAACTGAAGGAAAAACGCAAAAAAGTGGATATACCCATACATTCGATGATTTTCTCCACATAGAAGTGTACAGGCAGTTCCAGTCTATACAGCCATGAACGAGACATGTTCGAGCTGCTGTTTATGTGCTAACCATTTGGATGAAGGATTGGAAGGAAAGACTGAAATACTGGAAGCGGCGTACATGCATATAAAAGTGAATTCCGGTGAGTGAGGGGTCGAAGGCCAGGTGCGACACTCAGCCATATCGGTTCGAGACTCTAAACATAATGCAACCTATATGGCCGAGTCTCCAATTTAGGGCTTCCGTGCAGTTAGAAAGGCCACACTTAAAGAACAAAAACCGGTCGAAAAACTCATACTTTGGACGAGGACAACCCAAAAGAGAAAAGCTGTAAAGTGGGTGAGTCTCTGTCTGGACTTATGACTGGTCGGATAGGGTGCATGCGTCCAACTGGGTGCTTGACGTTGCTGACTGGTCAACAATGACAAACAGATTAAAAGGCTCGGGAAGCAATAAAGTGACCGAGTTTCCTCACCTACTCTTACACACCTTTTCATTGCCAAGTAAACCGCACTGTGCCCATTGTGTCTGCGTTGTTGTTTCCGTTCCAGTGTTAGAAGTGTCATGATTCTCAGTCCATAACACACCCTCATACCGAATCTGTTTGACCACCTTTAGTATTCTATCATCCACTGCCTGGTTTAAGAGACGTCACAAACCTTGGCAATCTGTTTGGTGACAGGTGTAACACAAGCCTCAACGTAGTCTATGCAGATTGAGTGTTGGTGGCGATAGTGCAGTGATTTGGTCACTGTCACGGCGTGCTTTAGATCTTAGTGTCCAAGATTTGAGCCCCAACAACACTATCCAACTTGTGGTAGGCAGTTTTGCTGTTGTCTGATTCAAAACCACGCACAACCTAACGGGGCCTTATGTGGTTCGCCAATCCAATTCCCGGGGCTTAGGTTGCCGGTTTCCCTCACTGAACAGCAGGTCTTCGTGACTGTAGGGCTTTGCCCGTCTGTTCAACACACTGAGGCGCGTAATAAAAATAACGCACGGGGTGATTGAAAAAAGTAGATGTCTCTGGCCTTCAAGGTTGGTTTGCAACTGGTTTGTTTGAGATGCTGAACGATACGACAACTAACTAAAGGACAGCAGTGGCGTTTCTTATCAGGTCAGATTGCTTGAAAAGTTAGCTATACACGATCAGATTGTATACTGTGTCAACTATAGGTATTCATCTTTTTGCCTCCTTAATTCAAGTAAGCCACATCTCTGTCCAACTTACATTTTCTCACTTATTATGTATACATATATATATTC